GCTCACACCCTGAAGCACTCCATGCGCTGCTTGCCCTCGGAAAGCTGCTCCCCTCATCGGAGCATGTGCAGGGAGCCAGATATTTCGAAGGTAGACCAGGTGTCTACCTTCATTCTTCTGAGAGAAGGTCTAAGGCCGAAGGCTACAGCGTTCACGTTCGGCTGGGCAAGCCCCATGTCTACGTTGCAGTCCTTCTCGAGACACTCTATGACCCTTCACAATCTTTAAAGAAGGGCAAGGCGACCGATCAACTCATAATCGACTACAGAGGTGTGCAAATCAAAGCAGTGCGCATTAAACTCGGGACGAAAGAGACCCTTGCGCTGGGAGATGCTGTGCGAGATTGGAACCCAGACCTCGAAATAGACCCGGCAGATATGCTGGCGCCTGCATATCATTGTGGCATTAGCGTGCCTGAGGGTATCTGGGATGCACGCAGCCAAGAACCCAGCTTTGAGCATTACCGCTCCAGAACAATCAGGCTTCTGGCGGAAACTCTGACTCCTATTACTCCCAGTTCAAGCAGTAACGCAGACGACACCTGGCTTGGCGCAGAAGGATCTTTGGGCCCTTATAGGCAAGCGGCAAAAGATCCGAAGAGCCCATTCTCCGAGGAGGTATCTAAAGCGCTTACTTCCTCTCTGAGACACAGCAACGGCCCGAAGATTGAGATCACTCCCTCAGGGTATGCAGACCTCTCTCATATTTTGGCGTTGCCGAGGCTGAAAAAGCTCAGAACGACAGCCGCTGATGTCTTGGAGATAGTTAGACACTCTCCTAAGGAGAGATTTCAACTAAAAAAGGAGGGACACAAGATCCTTCTGAGAGCTGTTCAGGGCCATGGCCGACAAGATCTGGACGACAAAGACGCCTACGATGTTCTCGAGCCGCGTGCGGTCCCTACTCTGCTGGCGCACGGCTCCTATTGCAGGCACTATGACTCCATATTTAAGCACGGGCTGCAGCCAGGCGGTAGGAGTTCTCAACGCCGCCATACACACTTGATCGACGCTGACATTTCAGCGACCGAGATCAGGTCCGGCTTCAGAGACAACGTTGAGATGATACTCTTTGTCGCAGGTCGTGAGGCAGCCGAAGCAGGGCTCCAATTCTTTCGATCCACCAATGGCGTATTCCTCACAGCTCAGGTAATCTCGCCAATCTACTTCAGAGGGACTCGAGACTCGGCCACAGGAACAGAGTATGACAATAAGGGCAGAGTTTGTGCGTGAGGAACTTGAGAGGAGTTGCTCCCGACGTAAGTAGTTGGAGTTGCTCCCTTACCCTGCCAGCCAGCGCGAAGGAAAATAGGGCCGTGTCTGATTCATGACTTACATTCTCGCAAGAGCATTACATTCTGGATGTTTCAAGCAGTCGTTCTCTTCTCAACAATAATCTCTTGGCATGAATGCAGCAGTGTGTTGCTGCCCTAAGGGGCGAACACGCGTTCCGCGCAGCGTTTAGGCGCGGCGGGCTGCGCAGGATGAGCTAAACGACTGCAATTCTGAGCCATGGACACTAAGGTGGTCTGCTGCCTTTAGGGGCGGGATCACCCTCTGGCCGTGGCCTCAGAACAAACTATGCTAGATATTTTCTTCATTTACCTCCGCAAGCAACATTGCCGGCTCGAGGTCCAGAAACAGTCATGCCCTCGTATCAAACGCAGCCGACAAGAGCCCTTGAGATGTTGATTCCTGTGGTAGCTACGCAGCTGCTTCTACAGGAGGCGACCGAATCAACACTACATCTTCGGAATCAGGCGCCTAGCCGTCTGTTGAGTCGCTTCAGGGAAATCCTCACGAATATCACTCTTCTTTGCCGAGCACAAGAGTGGTACGGGACGTACCATCTCTTGAACAATTATTCAAGACAGCTTACCTCTCATCAAGTCATACAGCTGGAAGAGACGCGTGCCAATCTAGCAGAGAGATTTGATGAGAATTACGAGATTCAACAGCAAAGGTTCACCATTCTCAGGCAGCTGGTATAGGCCAAGTCCTCCTGTTCCGAGAAATCAACTATGTGTACAATACCCCCTTGTACCTCGCCTTCGTGGCCAGAGAGACGCTCTATGATCTGCGCAACGATTTGCGCTCACTTGCCCTCTACTTTTTTCATCAACTATCGGAAGAGCACGGCACTCTGTGGCAGGAGATGACATCGGAGCTTTTCGGGCAATTTCACTCTGACGACCTCAGGTTGGAGCTTGTTCGCAATCTTTGGCAACAGGAGGTCTCTGACGCCAGGGACCAGCAATGGCGAACCCAGCCATGAAACGCTAAGTCGTGTCGGAGTTGCTCCCTTGCTCCCTTTCACTTGGTTAGGCTTTTTAGACAAGGTAGTGGAGTTGCTCCCTGGCAGAGTAAATGCTGACTGCAGAATCTGTCCAAGCAGGAAAAGAACTTGCAACAGTCAGCTTTGGACTTCAAAAAGCATCATACGACTGCTCTGCTTGATGTCAATTATTTCTCTTAAGTCGCTCTAAACCCAGGAAGCTGCCGACGCTATGCCCTCAGATTCGGCAAGGGAGTCGCTCCACAATTCCAACTGTGACCTTGGATTTTTAATAATGTTCCCCATACTGTTATAACTTCTTACTCAGATAAGGGACCTGCACTCATGTGTTTCCATACCTCTGCAATGGGACATTCAACGCGAAGGCTGGGATCACATCTCAAGCACTTTGATGCCGTCGTAGAGGACAAGCCTCTGCAACAATGTGAAGCAGCTTCGCTTTTTCTGCTCATGCCAACAGCCCACTATAGATACACACCCAGAGCCATTTAGCAATCAAGACTAGCGCAGCTCCTCCTGACTTTCAGCATGACCAGGGCAATGGAGATGCTCCTGCCCATCGTGGCCTACTTTATCTACTCACGTAGTCAGGCAGCACCAGAAGGCCGCCCAGTGCAGGAAGTCATCAACGCGCTCTCTGCCTTACTCAGAGATATCCGTCAGACGGTGGAAACCCGGCGACTTCAAGCCATGGCGGAGATTCTCATGGTGCACGCTGCCCAGTTTACACACGAAAACGTCATCATCCTGGACTCCGTGATGCACTCGCTAGACTTTTTCTATAGCGAAACATTCGACATAAAGCAGTATCGCCTCCGAAGGATGAGGGAGTTGGGGCTCATGGCAAACATGGCATTCCTCTCCTCTGTTGGAGTGAGGCCTCACCATCTCATAGTGGATACCCTTGTGCGAGCCTCTGACGTCACGGTAGCGCCACGCGAGAGAGACGTGGCTGGTCTCTTCGCAAACAACGTCAGTGCTGATTGGTCGCAAACTTACTCGACCACAGTCCAGCTTATGCAGCAAGACTTCTACGCTGACGATTTACGTTTCACAGAAGCACGCGCGTCGTGGGCATTGGTGGTCCAGAATGCTCGAGTGGCGCTGCAAGGATGATGATCTCATTACGGCAGAGGAGTTGCTCCCGCCAGCATCGGAGTTGCTCCCGGTCAGATGTCAATTCCTGACTGTCTGAGAGTTTTTCAATTTGAGCGACAAGCAGCTTCAAGAGAAAGTGGGTAGCTCTGTACTCTCAACACCTAATCTGGTACTCTGAGTCTCAACTCATTGCTTCAGGAGATGGACTTCAAGACCTTCTGGCACATGCCTCAGTGTCTTTCGAGCAGACGATACTTGGTTTCCCAGTTATCTGTCCTTTTGTTCAGCCTTCCTGACGCCAGGTCCCACACCTTCCCTTTTTTGGGGCTCTTCGGTTTGTAACTTAGTGCTTTCTCAGCGGTGGAGTTGCTCCCTCCGGTCGTTGGGATTCTCTCAGTCGGATTAAACTTAGAATGATGGTGAGACTTCTCCACAATTTCTCTTACATCAGCAGCTTAAGCTATAACTCTCTCCTCTCCAGTCAAGATAGAACTTCTCGGCCACTAACAGAGGAGTTGCTCTCAATAATAATGAACAAGACTGTTCCAGCAGAAGAGGGGATACAGCGCCAGGTCATGCTTTTTCTTCGCTATAGCATCAAGTATGTCTCAGCTGTTTGCTTGGTTCACTCCAAGGTAATGAAGCAACAGTGAGTCACGTACTCAGATGGATGAATAGAGCTGCTCCTTCTCCCAGATTCAAAGGTGCTCACATCTTCTCTTCTTTCTAATATATGCTTCAGCAGTAACATCTCAAGGAAGGAGTCTGAATCCGGCACATCCCATAAGCCTCCAGGACTCGCTCCCAGCCATGCTGTTTTTGCTCTTCGCACTGGCCATGGCAGGCAATAGTCCAGAGGGGCCGGACACAGCAGAGTCCGGACCGGGACAGCCAAGCAATTCAGAAGAACATTGTCCTATGTTGGCAGCCATGGTTCAATCCCAGGTCCTAAACGGAACACCAACAATGACAGATGACCAATGGGTGGCCTCGCTTGAACAACCGAGAGGTCCACCCCCTCCACAGCAACATACGCCGTCATCATCTTCGACTCTCCCATCCACATTGACACGGAGCTCCTCTCGCCTAGAAGTTGACAACGCAACCAGCCACGAGAACCATTCGGAGATCTCCACTCCGGCAAGTCCAAATCGGGAAAGGAGCCGGACACCGCCTGGTGCTCCAACATCAAAAACAAGGCAATTACTGGCGATGAGTAATGCTCGCTCACTCCATAACCAAATGTATGAGGCACTGCGCAGGCAGCGACCCTCCTTGTCTCTGGATGAGTCGCAATCAGCGCTTGATGTTGCCTTTGCACTTAGATCTACTCTTGAAGCCGAGGGTCCCACGCATGAGGAAATCGTGGAAGGATCACAGCAGGTGACCAACGCTCTAATAGCACAATGGGTGGCAGAAGATATGGCCCCAGCCAATGCTCAAGAGGACAGGGACATGGATGAGAGCAAGAAGAGGAGGAGCACGAGGCGGATGAGGAAGTTTCCTCCTCGTCCTCTGATGCTCTGGACTAGTGGCATGAGGAGTTGCTCCCAGCCAGTCTGATTCTCTCTAGTCTTTTACTTTTTGTTGGAGCAGCAGCCGCGATCAGCCAAGGAAAATAAAACACCTTGCCTTGCCAGCACCTATGTTCCAGCATCGTTCTTGGAAGAATGCCAAGGTATACCGGTGTTCGAGCTCAGCAGAGAGCCTCGCCGGATGGATGATAGCCATGGGTCAATAGCCAGCAACGACAGGTAGCAGCACTAAGTAGCTTTAAAATCGCATCAGCTAGACTCACTGCTCGCAAAGCGAGTATTTCTCACCCTACCAGGACAGGAATTCCTCGCTGCGTGTGAATGAAATGTTGTTGTTGTTGTTGTTGTTGTTGTTGCCACCACTATTGACTTCACGTGCCAATAGTAGTTTCCATTTTCTTTTCCATTATCCCAATATTACTCCAATATATACCCCATTATATAGTAGTTTATAACCCCTATAGAACCCCTATATAACCCCTATATACCCTTTTAAAGGGCGTAGTCCTCCTCCTGAATCTCCTACCCTAAACCCTAAACCCTAAACCTCCTCCCTTTGGAAAGAAGCGAGGCCTGCTTGATGTCCATGGTCCCCAACTTTCTGGTCATGGTGCTGCTCCGGGGCATGAGTGGCTTCTTCCTGGCCTCCCTCAGGCGTCCCGGGATGTTATAGTATGTTATGGGTATATTCTAGTATATTATGGACATATTGTTGGGGCGCTCAGGGATTTGTAGGGCTTGGACGGGAACTTGGAGGCTTTGTGTGCGTGTGGGAAAGATTGCGGCAGTGAGGGTATTCCATTGCCAACTGTCGACTTTTGCAGCGGCAGCAAGAGAAGTAACAGCATGTGAGAGTACAAGCCCTTGTGAAACTACCAGTCATGTTCAGCTTTTCTAGTGGTAAGCTTCAGGAACACGCAATATCAACGACATCAAGCTTCGCCTAAAGTAACTAGACGGTGGACATGAGAGAAATATGAGGGAGCTCCTGCTGTCCTCCCTTGGAACCTGACTGTCACCGACCCTTTTCTGGAAACTGTACTGGCAAACAATCATGGGAACCCTTCATGTCATCATGAACACCGCAGAAACGAGTTGCGCTGTCCTCATCACAGGCCTGTGGTGAACGGCATCATTGCGGACATGACGTCAGATGACCGGCGTGGAAAGATGTTCTCAGTAGTGCAAAGCTCCCTTCTGCTGGGGATGTGCGGCACCACTCTGACTCTAGGCAGATTTCGGCCCACGGCGTGCTCTCAGCTGCCTGCTCTGTTGGCACGGTTGTTGTCTTGCCTTTGAAAGGATAGCCGGCAACGTAGCCAACCGCGATCTGGGCAGCCTGCCTGGGTGGCGATTCATCTTTTTGTTGGCAGGCTGCATCGCTGCCTCAATTGGGGTAGTGGTGTGCCTACTCATGGTGCCTTGGTAAAGACCTGTTAAGACATTTTTCCTACTGTTCTATAAACGACATGATTGGTAATTTAAATGCTCACTGCAGAGGTGGAGCCCCCTAAGAAGCTGGACGACTCAGCGGACAAGAAGGGCTGCGCCGCCGTAGTGGAGGAGTTGCGTGCACTGCTGAGCTTCCTGTGCATTCCGACCTTCTGCATCATGGTTGTGCAGCTTGGCCAAGATGCAGGGTGCAGAGCATGGAGTAGCAGACATGGTACCGAGATAGCAAGGCTGCAACTAGACTAGACCAAGATGTGCTGGCAAGCGTCATTTTCAGAATTCACTCGCCGCAAACATGCGAGAAGGTGGCAGGACTGAGGAACCCAAGAATACGCATGAGCAATTGCGTAGCTTGACATGTTACAAGTCAAAACTAGGGATGACCCTTAGCTTTCAGGGTTTAGGATGGTTTTGGGCTTAGGGTGCCTAAGCTGTGTGGAACGGCTCTGCAAGCAGTATGTTGGGAGCAACAGGTTCCGGAACCCCAAGAATTTTGCACAAGCTAAGGATCTTCTTCTCAAAATCCAAACATCTACACTGCCATGGGTAGAGCCTGAACAATTGGGAATCAACTTCTCCCAGGCCTCTTGCTAAAGCCGAACCGAACATGCTCTACCAAGGCCCAAGAAAGGAGTGCGCAGTGGTTCATGTCATATAAGAATTATTCGGGGATGTATATATATATATATATGTATGTATGTATGTATGTATGTATGTATATATAATTGGCAGATTACGAATCAATTGGAAAAGAGAGTATATGTATGTAGGTCCATACAGGGGCCGTCGGGATACATCGGGCTCTTGCCCCAATACTAGAGCATCAGATGGCAAAGAACATGCAAAAAGAGACACAGATTGCTGAGTCGTCATTGTTGGGGTAACATCCTTAAACCCCATACAGCCCTACGACCGTATATAACACCACACAGCACAGGCAAGACAAACACTCAACCAGAAATTCTGGAACCCGAGAATCCTAAACCCTAAACCCTTGACCCTAAACCCTTGACCCCAAACCCTAGATCCCTAAGCCCCAAGCTTTAAGTCCCCAAGCCTTAGATCCCTAAATCCCTAAACCCTGAATCCTTAAGCCCTAAATCCCAAAGATAAATCCCTTAACCCTAAATCCCTTAAGCGCCAAGGCAGGGGATCTTCGGAACCATCCCGTGGACTGCCACTTGGGCCTTTGGAGGATTTTAATTTTAAAAGTTTAGGGTTCAGGGATTTAGGGATTTAGGGCATAGGGTGTAGGGTTTAAGGTTTAGGGGTGAATGTCTAGGTTGTAAGGTCTAGGGTTTGGGATTTTAAGGTGCTGGGGATTTGAAGGTGCTGGGGGGTTTGGGGTTTCAGGGTTTGGGTTCTAGGGTTCTGGGTTTCAGGGGTTTAGACATTTTTGGGTTTATGTAGGGTTTTTAGGTTTTTAGGGTTTAGGATTTTGAGGGATTTTAGGTATGTAAAGTGATGGTTGCATTGTTTTTTTTGGAACTTCCAGTGTTTGGGGTTTTCGGTTTTAAGGGTTTAAATGTCTGGTGTTTTAGCATGTAGGATCTTTGGGGTTTGCATGGATGTTAGGTTTCAGGGGTTAGTTTTAGGGTTCAGGAAGTTTGGGGGTCAAGCATGGAACTCTCAAAGGTATCCCATTTTTTTGGGGGGGCAGATCATTGTGTTTTGGACCCAAGGAGCCACAACGTGCCGGTCCCTAAGCTTGCTGATGCCGCGTAGGGAATGCAGGGGCGGATCCCTATACTAGTCCCAAGAAGTCCTGTTGTGTAATCCTGAATATACCGGTCCTTATATCAGATTCCTTCATTTCAACTTGCTTGAAGTAAGGCTTAGAAGCCTGAACCCAAAGGCCCTCAAACCCTAAAACCCTAAACACCCAAACCCCAAAACCCTTAAAACCCTAAAGCCTAAAGCCTTAAGCCCTGAAACCAGAGAACCGTAAACCCTGAACCCTAAATCCCTAAACCCTAAATCTCTAAACCCTAAACCTTTAACCCTAAACCCCTTACTTTCAACCCAAAGGTCATGGGCAACAACCTTCTCTTCTTCAAGCTGTCCGGCCTGCAAGATTGGGAAGGATCCATACTGGCCTCCGAAGGCCCCTCAACAGTCCAGATTCAGGGGTATTGGGTGCTAGGGTTTAGGGATTTTGGGGGCGTAGGGGTTGGGGCTTGGGGGTTCAGGGCTCGGAACAAGCAATGTCATACTTCGCGCATTTGGGGAGCCAGCAACATTGCAAGGGAGCAGCCGCCCAAAGCCAGCAAACTGAGGGACCGGGGAAGCCAACAGCAACATTGGAAGTCAGCAACACCTTGTTTGGAGCATATCGGGTGGGAGCACACTTCGGGTACACAGCCATTACCAAGCAGCGTGGAAGGGCAACTGCATTTTTGTAGCCCGCCCCATCTATCAGATTATCAGACTCTGTCTTCCAGGCACCGTCGTGGGAGTCTTCGGCAACCTCTTGGGCGGTGTGGTAGCCGACTGCCTAGCAGCCCGCTTGGGCTACCATGGTCGGCCACTGAATGTCCGAAGCCCAGGGACATGTGGGATCAAATCGGAGGTTACGTGGGTGCTTTCATGATTGTCATGATGGGGATTTTAGAGCTGTTTCCGGGACCATCGGGGCTTTACAAGGTGTATCATACAGATTGCGAAGGCAATGCGGGTCACAGAATTTTGGGCGTCTAGAGTCATGTTGCTGCTGTTGAGACTCCAGATTACAGAGATTGGCATCGGCAATTATCTCGAAGAGCTGACACAAACCACAGGAATTCGTAAGAATAGCTTCAGTCATGCCCAGGCACAGATTACAGTGGCCATCGGCATCCCCTTGATTTACCTTTGGTTCCTTGGCATCCCTCCTGGGTCTGATGCGAGCACTTTTGGAGCCCGGGCAGTGCAAGGCATCAGAACATAGGGGTTATATAGGGGTTTATAGGAGTTATATAAGGGTTGTACGAGTTTATATAGGGAGAATGGAAAAATGCAAGTGACTATTCAGGGTTCAGGGCTGGGGATGTTAGCCCGATAATGGAAAATCAGATGGACAACAAAATTGACATTGGGATAATACAGGGATGATTTAGAGACAATACAGGGATTATGCAGGTTATGTAGGGATTATGCAGGTTTTGTGCGGGACAAACAACTTGGGCAGCAAGAAGCATTGCCGCTGCTGCTGCTGCTGCTGCTTCCGCTGCTGTTGTTGTTGCTGCTGCTTCTACTGCTAGATTTCTGATTTCTCATCATGACAGTTATGGTAACTGTCTGATTTCTGAGGAGTGTACTTCACAATCATTGCGGGCTTTAGCCTACTTGGCTGCTGGGCACAGTCGGGGACCAACTTCCCCATCCTGTCGGATATTGTGCCGCCGCAGCACCGAAGTAGCTGGGCAGCAGATGCATCAGCAGGTCATGTCTATAGGCAAGTGACGGAAACTGACAATCAGCATCTCTTTGAGCTACTGCTGTTTTGATGTAATCCAGTGTTATTACGACTTTCGGTTATGATATTTTTTTTGATCATGTTACTGCAGAGCGGTTGCTCTTTGCATGGTCGCTTTTTATACGGCTACGACAAGTCATATCATATCCTCACTGTTAGCCTTACTGAAAAATGTCTACACCACAAGATGAAGATGGCCAAGTTCGCAAGTGTTCCGCCAAACCAAGCAGAGGCAAAGTCATGGCTTGGGAGTGCGCGCTGGAGAACTCCATCGCCACTCTGATAGGCCCTCTCTTCGTGGCCAAGCTGTCTTTGGCGTTGCCCAATCAGCCCTGGCATCATTTTTTTTTTTTTCGGTGATCGTTTTTGTTTACTATGAGGAACATGCATTGAGATGCATTGAGTTGGTTCTGTCACCCTATGGCTGACCCAGGTTTGGCTACACTTTCGGCGAGTCGGAGGATGAAACCGGGAAGAACCTCGGAGCTGCTACAGCTTTGGGGCAGGCGATGGCGGCCGGATCCTCAATGGTGGCGATATGAGAAATTGTGCTAGCAGGAACAGGTAAGAAGAAAAGCGGTGCCGATGCTTTTGCAGTCGCCATCATGCCTAGAATCACGGCATTCTTGTAAAGTTCGACTTGCGTGAACCCAAGACTGGCACTGCAGGCCACAATCTGCATACCTTGGCTGGTGACCTTCGCCCTCTACAGCCTCCTTCACCTATCCTATCCTATGGACATGCGACGGTTGAAGGCCGCGGATTGTCGCAGTGAGCAAAGTGTATGACATCATACCCTGGACGGGAGTTAGGTTGGATCTTTCAATAGCATCACGAGCAGGCATCAGAGATATGGATCTTCTGGATGAAGGTAGCAGCAACAGTCTCAAAGCAAAGCAGGTGCTTCAGAAAAGGTGGCCAATCTAAAGAAATCTCATTTCCATGTGTTATTGTCACATGCCTCGTATAGTCGTATAGCCCTATGATCCGCATCTTCTTATGGCGGTTCCGACATTACCCAATTATGAAGTACGTCCGACACAGTTTTTTACCCTTTCACACACAAACTTGGAACAGCACGTCAGCAACAGTGTTTTGAGTCTTCGTTGTGTTCCGTGATTTTCTGTTTATTTGGTTTATGGTGACAGGGTAGATTGTCAGGGTAGATTGTCAGCGGTAGACTTTCCACTGGCTGTTATATCCAAGTTTCGGACGTCCAAGCTACTTGTATTGACCAACGCGTCTCCCCACACTAGCCTACGCGATGAGCTTCAGCCTTGCTCTAGCCATGAGGGACCATCATGAACTTTGAGACGCATGATCACTAACCAGCCTGTCTGGAAGGCTCGAATGCAGACCGAAGAGGCTGAAGCCCCAAAGCGCGACGAGCCGGAGATCATCTGAGCATTGTGTGCATGCGTTCTGCATGGGAACACGTGAATTATTGGCCACTCGCGTTTTGACGGTCTGTTTGGCAGGGATCTTAGAAAGGGGATCCTGGGTTCGACGACCGATCGCAGGGGGGTTCCCTACCGTGCTTTCAACGAAACTTTACCCGACCAGAGTAATCATGGCTCTTGTTGCTGTTTGTGTGGGCTTGCAAAATGGCCTGCTTTCAGGGACTCCCCCGACCTTGCTTAGTTAGTCGTAGGTAGGTAGTGTTTTCCTGCGTTTTAGTCACTGTTATAAAGAAGCACTCAAGTGACTGCAAACTTTTGCGCCGGCTCCGTTTCTTTTGCCGTGCCGGTGGGTCTTCGGAATTCAGGCGTCCAAAGGGTGCCGCACGAACCTCCAACATAATTTATTGCTGGGTTGTCCTTCGAATCCTTGCTCACCTTATTCTTTTCATAGTGCACCTGCATTGTGAACAGTGTTCAGGAAATTTCAGGAACTTGAAAGGACAGCCGAGATTCCTGATTGCTAAAATGAGCGATCCTTCCTGAGGTCCTGGTGTTAAAGTGGGCAGGCCGGAAGTGCATACAGATATCAGCTATAGTCCAAATCCCTTAAAGGGGGCTATATAGGGATTGTATAGGAGAATCTTACTAGGAGTTTAGATTGTAGCTCATATCAGTGCTGGGAAATTCCTGGGGCTGAAGTTGGGATCATTATGGGGATCCACTCCTTCACTCCATTAGGCACCATTACCACTAGAACTACCATTGTTACTAACCCTACCGCAACCACAACTAGAATAAGTACTACCTCCTACTACTACTACTGCTACTACTACTACTACTACTATTACTACTACTACTACTATTATTACTACTACTACTACCACCAGAACAAGCCACCACTGCTTCTACCTCGACCACAGCAACAGCTACGGCTATTCCTACTCTTGTTGCTTTCCTCTTCCTACTGCTACTACGGCTACGATGACAATTATTTGTCACTCAGGATTCATGGATCTCATGATATTGTTTTGTTTAGAACAAGTTTTTGACCAGCCCCTCAGCCAGTCTACACCGGATTCTCAGTCGTGTCTACGACCAATCTCTGCTTCTTGCGGTGAAAAGATTGCATTGGAGTCCAATCTGGGAGTGTCCAAGCATGGAGGCACCTCGCATTTTGATTCTTATATGTGGAGCCCCCAAAGTCACGCCTGGTGCGAAATAAGTTTGCTCGCTACGGGAAGTTTGGTTGAGGGGTATGTTTCGTATGTTTCGGGTTATCTTTCGAGGGTATGTTTCGGAGGTATGTTTCAGAAGTTGAAGGAGCAAGTTACTGTTGGTTTGGGTGCATTTTTCGGTTATGATTCAGGGGTATGATGGGGGGGGATGTTTCGCTCAGCCGAACTGCAATTTTTGAGAGGTTCCTCAGTTGTTGCTACTTTCCTTGTTTCTGTTCCATCCATTAGCGTGTTTGGTATGGAAAAGCCCTTGTCCGCATTCCAGGGTTCTGATTTGGGTTCCCGCCATAGCGTAGCCTTTGCTGTATGCAGTGAGACTCCAACCCACCATCTTCTGAATTTGCCACGGGCCGATCAGGATATCCCTAGGCTGCGGTTAAGCGTCACACAGGGCCTCTTGGAGTAGCTTGTCCACAGTTGTCGCGCCATTGCATGGGGAATCCTTCGAGGTATGATAGGACTACATTGAGATTTGCGGGTAGTGGCCGGTTTCGCACCATCCTCAAGTAGATACATGTATTGGGTTTTCAGGAACTCTCGGTGACATTGAGTGCTTTGTGCTTCCGAAGATGACTGGAATTCATAACCGTAGGCCTCGAGCAACGGACCTAAAGTAAATCTGCATGTGCAAGGCGAGAGTTCCGCAAGATGGTGCGTTCCCTGCCAGCACTAGTCACAAGACTTTGCTGAAGGTTGTTTGGTTTTGCAAGCTTCACGGCCTGCCCTTACAGAAAGCGAGTTCCTAATGTAGACTTTGGGAACATCTGAGGGTTTGACTTCCACGTGTCAACGCGGGGGGCAGCAAGTTTGGTCCGGGTTTCCGCAAGCGCTGGAGTGAAACGTGCTTATCCCTCCTGACGGTCTAAACAACCCCCTAGCTCTGCAAGACCAAGGTATGCTTCAGGCGTGGACTTGAGTCATTGCCGTGAAGTCATGGTCCGCGAGCACAGTGTAGAACCTGGAAGATTTGACACGCTTGTGTTGAACTGAGCGCAACTCACTGGGCAGGAGCGAGACATCCAACGTTACAAGAAGGTTGGGATGTAGTGAAATTGAGCATGTTGAGTTCAGTGCCAGGTGGTGGTTCAAGGCAAAGATGACAAGTTACCAGGAAACTTTGACTGCTTTGATAAGATGCATCAAACAATGATGTGCCCAAACACCGCACTCAATATTCGCAGCTTCGCGAAGCTAGCGTTTGTGCAAAACGGGGTTTGCTATTCTCAGGTAGAAAAGAATATTAAGATCGAAGTGACAATGTGAGCCAGAACGTTCATGAATCTTAATCCTCCCAGGTATGTAAAATACAAACCATGTGATGGCAGGCCTTCCATGCAGCCCTGGGGCCCCACGTCAAGGCAAGAGCGTCTAGGTATGGAAGTTGCTGGAAGCATAGTGTGCGAGAAGTCTCTCCCCTAATTTTGGGAAATTTGTGAGCCCTAAACCCTAAATAGTAAGTTCCATTTTCTCTTCCATTATCCCTATCTAACCCCTATATTACCCCTACAATCCCTATATAACCCATTTTAGTAGTTTCCATTTTCTTTTCCATTATCCCTATCTAACCCCTATATTACCCCTATAAACCCTCTAAAAGACACCTGCCCGCCTTTCTTCTAAGCACTCCTCGCAGGCTGGCGGAGCTCTGGATGAGCACCGGGCTGCCGAGGCAAAATCATGGTACCCCTTAAGTGGAATTGGGGTTTAGGGTTTAGGGTTTAGGGTTTAGGGTGTACATTGGGGTTATATAGGGATAATGGACAAGAAAATGGAAACTACTATTTAGGGTTTAGGGTTTAGGGTTTATAGGGGGTATGTAGGGGTTATTTAGGTGATATATTGGGGTAATGGAAAAGAAGATGGAAACTACTATAATGGGTTATATAGGGATTGTAGGGGTTATGTAGGGGATATATTGGTGTAATGGAAAAGAAGATGGAAACTACTATTTACGGTTCAGGGTTAGCGTGCGTACCCCCATCCTGGCTCACAGTGTAGTTGTTTTAAGTGTCACGGCGCGCAGGCAGTCAGAGAACTGGGCTTCCGCGTGCGGTACCAGGTGCCTGCCCTGCTTTCAAGTCCAAGAACGCTCTAGGGAATCTCAAGCTGCTTGGAGGTTCACATTGTGCGCCATATTCGAACCTTCGCATCCCTCCGCATGGACAAAACAGCCCGAAGTACATGGTAGAAGAAGCAGTGAAAAGGTCAGTAGCCGCAGTCTGTCAGAGCACTCCGCAGTCGGATGAAATAGTATTCTCTCCATTGGAACTCTCTTCCCACCCTCACACAAGCTGCCGCGCAGTATGTGGCCCTGGCTGCCAGAGTCTGCGCCAAGACGTACAGCATGGCGGGAAGGGCTGTGAGAGTTGTGGCTGTGTTCGGCGAAGGTTTGGGAAGTTGCAATCTGGTAATGAGCTCACTGGTAAAGCCTTCACCTGCAGTAGTGGATTAGTTATTATCATAGCAACCCAGCCATGGTAGTTGCTGAGAACATGAGTCTTGTCCGTGTTGGCTGAAGGCTTTCATTGTGTCTTCAGGGCCAGCTTTCAAAGTCAAGCATTATGCCAGGCAGATCCCATTCTGGATGAGGCAAGTTTCGTGCGTGTTGCCAGCACAGTTTGACCTTGACCATCTGCGGCAGAGTAGCCGTTCATGCCAGACAATGACAACGAGGTCCCGAGTAGAAGTGCAGCTTCTATGTTGTGTCCATGTTCTATTCCATTTGATTCTCCTTTGTGGTTTCATGTCCATCTCCATTCCCCTACAGGTCAAGGGGTCGCTTAGCGAGTATTTTCCTGGGTTGATTAGTAATTTTTTGGGGTCGCTAGGCACGTTTTTTATTGACTAAGGGACCCGGAAAAATTGGCTAAGTGACCCTAAACCCCGAAACAACCCTAAACCCTGAATAACACTAAATCCTAAACCCCAATCAACCCTAAACCCCAAACCCTAAACAACCCTACACTGAGGAGGGCACACTGGTTACCATAAGGGTTCTTGTGCGCCGTAATAGTGGAGAGGGGGATGCAGCACCTGGCAAGTGAACAAGGCAACGCCAGGCCCCGTGCACTTCGTGCAGGCATTGAAAGGTCCTCGGGTTTAAAAAAAAAATCCCTAAACCCTAAGCCCTAAACAGCCTTAAATCCTAAACCCTAAACAACCCTAAATCCTAAAACCCTACACCCTAAACAAGCCTGAACACTAAATAACCTTAAATCCTAAACAACCCTAGACCCTAAACAACCCTAAACCCTAAATCCCTAGCCCCTAACCCTAAACCCAAAATCCAAAACCCCTAAATCCTAAACCCTAAATCCACAACCCCTGAACCCCAAATCCAAAACCCCTTAACCCTAAACCCTAAGCCCTAAATCCACAACCCCTAAACCATAAACCCAAAATCCCAAACCCCTAAGCCGTAAAACCTAAATCCAACACCCCTAAACCCTAAACCCTAAATCCAACAGCCCTAAACCCTAAACCCTAAATGCACAGCCCCTAAACGTAAAACCCTAAACCCTAAACCCTAAATGCACAACCCCTAAACGCTAGACCCTAAATCCAAAACCCCCAAACCCTAGACCCTAATCCAAAACCCCAACCCTAAACCCAAAATCCAAAACCCCTAAACCCTAAACCCTAAATCCAAAACCCCTGAACCCCAAATCCAAAACCCCTAAATCCTAAACCCCAAAACAACAACCCCTAAACCATAAACCAAAAATCCCAAACCCCTAAGCCGCAAAACCTAAATCCAACACCCCTAAAC